CTTCAAAATGGGCTTTGGTTGGGGAAATTTTGATGAAGCATGTGAAAGTTATGCTTGGTCAAAGTTCTGTTGACTTCTCCTAAGGAAACCCTAATTTGGCAACTTTTGACTTTTGATGATTTGAGGGCTTTCCTTGAGGAATCATGATCAACCCTTGATCAAATGATGAATATCACTTCAAAATGTTGATGTTGATCAAAAATCTTGAAGTGCGACTGTATGTTGACCATAGTTGACTTTTTACTCAATATAGTTGATTTTCAATCATCTGAGTTATTGACTGAGCAAACTTGTGATACAAGACTTGAAACTTGATATGAGCATTGTTGAAGAACTATGGAGAATCATGGAAACCACTTGAGACCTTTGCAACCCAATCTTCCTTAAGAAACTCAAAACCCTAGTTGTAGACCTCTTGCTTAGGAGGAGGTTTGACTGATCAACCCTTGAGTATCCTTGAATATTTGAGACCCTTAGAAGAATGTTTTTGAAGAAAATGGGAGGGAAAATTTTGGGGTACAACAGCTGCAAATGAGCATCTGAAGCTATATGAGAGTTGTGAGTAAACCAGAGGGGGTGATTGATCTGAAGTTAGAAATTAATAAGCAACTGAAAATTGAAGAAGCAATTGCTGCAGAAGTAGAGAAAAAGCTGAAAGCAATGAACACGGGAAAGTGTACTATTTTCCTCTTGTTATAATAGGAAATTTTCCCCAAATGTCGATCTCAAGAACTACACAAAATTATCGATTTTAATGCATGGTTCAATTAAACAAAAACTTAACTTGAGGTTTTGGTTTTAGAAATTGTCACTTAATAATAAGCAGAAGTATAAATATATTTTTTCACAGATATGATGAACATGTTAGGGTGTGGTGTGTAATTTTCCCTATAACGACCTTGAATCCCAATTTCTTCAACAAGTTCATAACATTCAGCTACCAGCCCTTTAGATTATTTTTCCCTAAGTCCTTAGTGAGAAAACCTTTAACCATCCATCCTAAATCCCAAGTCCTTAGAGATATCTCATAGAGTCAAGCCTTTATTTTATCAAGAGTGATCCGGTAACTATAGGGTATCCCTAGTCCTAGGTGATATCTACTATAGTCTACTCGTACAAAGACCTTAACAACTGCGGTCCACCTGGTTGTTAACCGTAAATCAATCCTAATTGGTCCGATCAAGAAAGCATGAAAATATTGCACGACTAAATTGAATAAGAAAACAACTTTATTAAAGAACTCAGGAATTCATAATCATCACAGATTCAAATCAGGGACACCCCCTAGCATTTGGGGGGTTTAGCCGTTCATATTGTTCACGAGAATTACAAAAATATAAGAACTAGACATTACAAATGATGAATGAACTTTGGTCTTCAATCGCGTCCGCTCATGAAAGATCTTCGTTCTTCAAGAATCTCATATCCTCACTCCTAGACTCTGGAATTCGTTCTCTGCAAAAAAAAGGTCCCTAATTCTCCTTCAAAACTCATCTAAATAACAAACATTTACTTAGGACGGTTAGAAATACCCAAAACACACTCGCATGCTAACTATTGAGAAAAATAACAACAAATCTTGAAACCAGCGTTGCACCCTAACACGGGCCGTGTCAGGAAACATGGGCGCCCGTGTTGGACCTCTGGGAATTTGTCTATTTATTTTCTGCTACAGACCTGCTGACACGGACGTCCGTGTCAGACCTCTGACTTCCATTTCCTTTGTCTTGTCCTAGCCTTCATTCTAACACAGCCCGTGTCAGGCCTCCTGTACATGAGTATTTTACTTTCTCCGAAAATCTGAGTTTTGCGCGCTTTCGCACTGATTTGTCTCGATTTATTCCTCTGAGCCTAAAAACAGGAAAAATGCACAACCAAAGCATAAAATGCGGAAACATAAAGTAAAACACTTGACAAAAAAAGAAAAGATAATTAAAAATAACGATAAATAACTTGTGTAAATATCACTGATCAACAACTTATCACCCTCAAACAGATGGCCAAACTAAGGTGACAAATCGGTGCTTGGAGACCTATTTAAGATGCTTAATCGGGCACAAACTGCGGCAATGGGTCGAGTGGCTGGGTTAGGAAGAATTTTGGTTTAATTCTAATTACAACAACATAACCAAGACCATTCCTTTCAAAACTTTATACGATCGTGATCCACCACAATTGGTTAAAGGTACCATTATTCCTTCAGCAGTGGATGAAATTAACCGGTTGACTCAAGAATGCGACATGATTCTGCATGATCTTTATTCCAACTTGGCCAAAGCCCAAAACTGAATGAAAACTCAAGCCAATAAACACTGGAGAGATGTATCATTCATTGTTGGGGACTGGGTTTATCTCAAATTGCAACCTTATAGACTCAAATCTTTGGTAAAGAAGATCAATGAAAAGCCTAGTCCTCATTTTTATGGTCCTTATCAAATTACTAAGCTCATCTTTTGGTTGCCTATCAATTAGACCTTCCTGCTGAAAGTAAGATTCATCCCGTCGTTCATGTCTCACTGTTGAAGAAAGTTGTCACACCAGTCCCAAATCCTCAACCATTACCACTTAAGTAGAACCCCAAGTTCTCATGGTTGTCCGTATTAATGCTGCCAACGTTGAGGAGTTGCTCATTTAATGGAAGGACTTACCAAATTTGAAGCAACATGGGAAGCTTTTGAGGTCATCAACCAACAATTTTCTGATTTTCACCCTGAGGACAAGTTGGAACTTTTGGAGGAGAGTATTGTTAGTAGATCCCCAATTACTAATGTGTATGTTAGGGTAGGCCCAAAGGCCAATAAGTTAGGCCCAAATTATTTATTTAGATGTTATGTATATAAGTAGAATAAAGAATGAAAAAGTCTCATTCAGTTTGTTATTTGGTTGGTTTGATTTGGGAGAGAGTAAGCTCTCTAATCTTAATAGTTGTATTTAATCTTACAGTTATTTATGTGTGTTATAATTGTTGTTGCGGTTTGTAACTAAATGCAGGAATTATTCTTGATAAATGCAATAATATATTGTATTCATGTATATTGTTCTACCCTTTTTCTATTATTACTAGTCAGAATCTATCACATTTCTGCTGTGATTAACTCATCTTGATTTAAAAATGAAATATATTATCTACTTTCCTACTTCAATGCTACATTTAATCATTAACCAAAAACCTTAGTGTTGTTGTGTTGTCATGCTAAGTTAAACTATACCAGAATAAAACAAAAAACAATATGTTAAATTGTAAACTCCATTAAGTTAAACTATAAAATAAAACAAAAAAGAATATGTTAAATTGTAACCTCCATAGAAAGTTTCTTCAAAATTGTTCTTTTGTTACAAGATCTCGAGTTTAAAAATTTGAAGGAACAGTCTGAGAGGGAGAAAAGTGAGGAACTTAATTGAACCCTCTCCCTAAACTCTATCCCATAAACGTTTTAGAAATTTTGAAATAGTTGTCTAAACTATTTAGAAATGCTTCAAATGTTTTCTAATGTAGTCAAGTCTCTCATCTTTTCAGAATTATAGGTCTAAGTCTTTATATTTTGTATTACCTAGCACAAAATAAAACTTGAAAAATAAAACTTGTCGTAGAATTTGTATTATAATTTTTACGTAAATTTATATCTTTTTTATTTTGCCATTAAAGGAAAAATAGGTCTTTTATTTTGCGAAACATAGAGAATGTTAATTCTTGAAAACACATGCTGAGGCAACAAGTACAAAGTTGAAAAGTTTCCATTACTAAAACATGGAGAGAGTTGAGGCAACAAGTACAAAATTGAAAAGATTCCATTACTAACTTTACTGGTACACTAAAAAGTTTCATATTGTTTGAAAATCGAAATTAAAGATAACATATATGCAAAACACTCTCTTCAATTCAACATATTTTGACAAAATCGTGAAAGCCTTCCACAAAGACGAAAACGGCCAATAGTAATAGAAAACTTTTGAGCAGAAGAAGGAACAGACAATAACATGAATAACACAGCTTTAAGAGTCTAACTGGCGCTTTCATGAGTTGGGTGCAGTATTTCAGCCTTTTTCATTGAATGTTAACAAGTGAACAGTAGTTTATTTTTTATTTCTAGAATATCAGTGAAGAGCAAATGATAATAAATCAGTAACTTGCTATGAAACTTTTCTTGAAAGAACTTGACAAGTCGAAATTCTGCAAATTGCCTTACGGGAAATGAAATGAAGGCTTCGATGTGTTTCTGAAGATTCAATTTGATTGTTTTGCTGGAGATGAAAAGAAGTGAAGGTTTCGTTCGCGCAAATATTTAGTGTTTCTATTAATTGGTAATCCATACTAACATCATTTAGGGGAAAGCCTATGAAAGTAGGTGAAAATGATAGTAGTTCATTCTAATCCATACCCTAACATCTCGACTCAAGTTCTGCTTCGCAGAATATCAAAGTACGCATTCTTGGAAACATGACATCTAAAGACACAACATGTATCAGCTCATACACAAAGTCTAAACAGATTTTTTGATAGCCCCTCAAAATTTTGTTATAATCAGGGTCGTCTTTGAGGGCGTGGAAGATGGGCTACAGCACAAGGTCTTAAAATTCCAGGGCTAAATTGTGACTAAGTAGTGTTTCATAATAGATTTATCATGACTAAATAGGGTCCCTAGTGATTTTGTCAGGGTTGGATTATAGCTGACCAACACAGGGTCTCCAAAAACTTAAGACGACTCTAATTATAATTAACTAGTTTAATAGACTATTAGCAGCATAATGGAGTAGCATGGAAATAGTTGTGTAAATAACCATTAGCAGAAAGAAAGACAGACACATCTTGAAGATTCCTAAATTAGCAGATTCAATAGTAACAAACAACTCATGTTAAAAAACTCAAACATTCCTCTAATCCCAAAAAGAAGCTATCACAGTACCACATGATTTGTTTATCATCTATAAATCTATAAACTAGATCACTAAGTCTAACCAACCATAAAAAATGGGAAATTTCTGAGCAAGAAATTTACACTTCAATAAGCTATCTTTCTAACTTTCCTCTTATCCTTCCAGTGACCGGAATTCTCGGCAGCGCAATGCCGTGAAACGGTCCAGTACATACATGGTGCAGCAGAATCACAAACATAACAGTAGCACTGTGTTTAGTCAAAGATTGTCACAAAGTCAGCAATCATTGTAAATATAGTTACACAACACAACAATTTCTCTTACCTTTTCACAATAGCTTTCACTAGGAGTAGTCTTGAATGGAAACTTCAGACATAGATGTCTTGAATGAGGATAATCTCTAAGAGCTATCTGAATAATCATGAACCACAACACACACAAAAACATTCTTATACCATAGATTTCATGAACTAGAAAATGGGTTTCCATCAAAATAAAAAAGTAGAAAAATTTCAGGAACACCGTACCTTGCCCTTTTCAGCAAGAACACAGATATCATCATCGGCGTCTTTGTTGAGAGGTTTAGAGGAAACATCTTTAACAGGAGAAGATTCAGTAGGATCAAATCCTAGGATGAAACAATCGTCAGTTTCCTCGAAACGTCTGATGTCGTCGATTTTTTTGAGACAGGCGATGGCCCTGATCGGACTATCGTCTGAAAGTGTCCTGGCCCTCTTCATTTTTCGGTTTCGCTTGAACCCTCAAGGGCACGATTTCAGGTAGTTCAAAAGTTGTGTTAAATGGAGTACTTCAATTCAAAATAAATAAATTTTTTATTTCCTTCTTTAAAATATGACCGTTTAAGATTTTCGGGTCTCTTTTTTCCGCCTCAGTTGCAATATTTCAATTATCTATGGTTTAGTATTCAATAAAATTAATTACTCCCTAAACCCTTAAATGGAGTACATTTTTATTTTTTAAAATAGTATAGATAGAGAATTGAATAAGAAATATAATGTTTCTTTAATTTAATTTTACTTATTAAAAACAAATAAGATTATATTAGATTAAAAATAAATAAGTTCGTATCAAATAAGTTTTTGTTATGATACATCTATTTAAATTTATGAAAAAGTATTTTAGTAAGTTTTAATTAAAAATGGTTAAATGCATCTTAAAATGCATGTTATAAAAACACTCTTTCTAAAAATTAGGTGGGTCTAAGTTGTGACTTGATTTTTCAAACACTTATCCGTATCACATTGTAAATGTGATTTATGAGAGAGAAAGTGAGGTGGATGGTGTGTGACAGAAAGTTCAATATCGACGAGGAAAACATCAGAATAAGAAGGACGGGGTTTGAGATTCAAAGAAGGGTAAAGGAGTAGAGTGGGAGGAACGTATTTCAAACTTCTTCTTCACTGAGTTTCTGGAATCTTACGATACTAAGGAGATGTTTGATGTGTTCAAAAAATATGGTTTGATTGATGAAGTTGTTATTCCATGAAAGAGAGATAAGAGAGGCAAGTGCCATGGCTTTATGAGATTTAGAAAGGTGGTCGAAAAAGATTTGCTTGCAATAAAGTTAGATAACATATACATAAAGTCCAAAAAGATTTATGCTAACATTCCAAAATTTCAACGAGGAAGACATTTGCAAAATAGAAGGGATTTTAATCGGAGGATGGGGGGGGGGGGGGGGGGGGGGGGGTATGTTGCTTACATATTTAATTATGAATATTAGTAATTTATTATATTTATTCATGAAATATTATGTGAGTTAGGAGGTTGTGTGTGTTGGATTATTGACGGAGATATAAGCGAGAGTTAGAAATTATTTAGAATTATTAAATAATAGCTTTTTGTGATTTATTAGTAAAATAATAAGAAGAAATATAATGAATATGATGCGTAGAGATTTTGGGGCATGAAGGTAATTACGTGAGGTTAAGTTGATGATAAATGAGGTAAACCATAGTTGGGATATTTATAAAAGAAATTAGGGAAAGAGTAGCCGGTTTACAACATACCTGAAAAGATGAGGGAAAAAGGAGAAGAAGTTAGGGCATAGAAGAACCAGTGAGATATTCACCCATAGGCTTGAAGAAACAATTTATAGAAGAATTCTAAGGTAAGGATGGGTAATGGTTGTCAATTATGAATGATATGAGAGAAGGGTAGATGTAGTATTTTTGACTCTCTACGATTAATGTTAATTATGATGGATATTGACGCGTTTGGTGAAATTCTTGATGTTAATGTTATGTGTATATGATGTGTTGTAAGATCTTTGATAATGCTACTGCTATGATTTCGTTGTTGAATTATGTGTTCCATGAATCATATTTTGATTTGACAGGAATTGGATGAATTGATGATGATAAGTGATTAATTGGTGCTATAGTTATGATGTAATGTTAATTTATGATTCTATAACATGATAGGTGATTTTAAGATGTTAAAATAGCATAAAATTTGGTCTGTTATGGTATGATTTCGTAGAGTAAGTTACTGTCATGTAAACTAGTGTTTATTTGCTTTGAAACTGAGTTTTTATGCCAAACGATCAATATGTGTCGACCTGACCGACCCTGTGCCGATACATAGCCTTTAGAAAAGTAATTTTTGAAAAACATAACAGTATGCGCCGACACATGAAGCCTTATGAGCCAACACATACGAAACAGACGCTACAAGCTTTAAAACAAAAGTACATGTACCGACCTGAAACACAGATGTGCCGGCACATGCACCTAAAATTTGCCTAGAAACTTGATTTTTCAACACACATCCACTTCTAATTCTCTATAAACATTTCCCTAATGTATTTTAGCAATAAATGATGATAGAATATAGTAGTAGATTTGTGTTTATAATAAGTATGAGTTGTACTTGATGTTATGTACTTAATTGATGAATTATTGAATGTTGATTTAAGTCTTGTATGGTAAATGATATTGTTGTATGATGAACTGATGAAAATGTTGTTGGTAATGTTGTTATGATGGTGTTGCTATAATAATACTATTAAGACGAGTTGCATTACTGTTGGTGTGATGACGTTGACATACACACTAAAGAGTGGACCAATGATACTAATGATGTTGCATTAGTATTCTATGTGGTATTGCATAAATTTGTTGGTGCTACGTGATGTTGCGATATGTGTGAGTGCTTATGTGAATATGTGTGAACCTTGTGATGATATGTTGTATATGAATTGTTTATGATGTTCGGGTGTGAGTTAAGAATTGTTGAAGTTGTGGATTGATTTGTAAATAATTGATGTAATATATCTTTTCTTATGTTGTTTATAATTGATTATGATTACTCACCCCTTATGTTTGAATGTTGTCTCTACGTGAGTAATGCGCAAATACTCAGGAGTAGATTTCATGGAAGTAATTGGAAGCTAACTATTGAAGACTCTTTTTAGTTTAAAATTTTATGTAGTGGATTTCTGCTCTGATTCATGTATCATTGAGTCGGGATTGATATTCGATTTTTGAACTACTATGTCGTTTATTTCAGAATCAATTTCCAATTATGTTGTTGAGATGTTTAAGTGATGTTTAAAGTTGAGTATCGATAATATTTCGTTATTATTATTAAATTTGGAGTTTGAGACATACCACTAATTGTTATATTACCTAGATGATGATTCTGCTGCAAATATTTTTAGATGAGTGTTGCACCCCAAAATTTACCCTTCTAATTTGGATTTCTATCTGGCCTAGGCTTTTGCATTCATCTATGTACGCTTCTATTAGGTCATTTGCATAAACAATCATTCATTCATCGCATTTGTATCATTAGTCATATTTAGGTTGACCAAAAGTCAACTTAACTCAACACGTGCATCATTTTAGAGTTAAAAAATACTTTTATCTCACTTCATATATTTTTATCTCTTTACCCGCTTCATGCATTGCACCAAGTTGTTCATATATCGATAAATATTGATATTTCGGTTCTACAAACAGATTGTTAAAAAGGATTTGACACTGTGCAAAAAATTAGCGGGAAAATATTTCGAATTTTCACATTTATCTGACTGTTTTATGAAACTACATTGCACGTAGATCATGTCGGCGTGCCCACTTTATTTTTTCGGTATAGTTTGTAGTTTCTTTTTTAATTGTCAATGTTTGTTCAATCTGATATCTTTATTCTCATTTTTATTTCGACTTTGACCGTTTGAGATTTTTTTATTAATCTTTGTGTTATGTATTTTATTTTAGAGTGTTTATTTTTTTTGGTTAATTAAATCTTCATATTTTATCTTTTTTTTTACTATTTTAGATTTTTTTAATTCTGAAAAATTAAAATTAAAATATTTTAAATTATATTAATTTTTATTCTTTTAAATTTTTAACCCAAAAGAGCTTTTTAACCATTTAATTAATTTGCTGAGCCTATGTTCCGTTCTGTCTATCCGAAATACCACCACCACTCCAACATTTCCGCCCACTGTTCCGTTCGAATTCATAGCAACTCAACATCACCGTCCGGCAACACAACACCTTGTCACTCTTTTAAATTCACGCGTTTGTGTGTACCTACATTAATAGGTGTGGTTTATGTATAGTTGCATCCAAACATATTTAGTAATCAGTTTTATCTTTACTAATCATTCAATAATTTTGTTTAGAATTAGGATTTTCTAACCCATATGGGCTTTTGGGCCATGCTGGCAATCATTATTTGCTATTTACACACACTCTTATTTTCTTTTATACCCTTTTGTTTTTTTTATAATTTTAAATCTATATTTGCTTTATTAATTTTGATCTTACTATTTGGTTTACTTTTTTTAAACAATCTCAATTAAGTAGTCTTGTAGATTTTTTATAATGTTTTAGTTAGTTAATCATTTTTAGATAATTGCAAATTTAATAGTTAATCTTTCTTTGTTTTAATTTTTGTAGTGTTTATTCTTTAATAATTTTTGCTTTAATTTCTTCCTTGTGAAATTTCCTTTCTTGATGGTTGATTACATGTGTGTTGCTTAGTGCTAAATTTGTGGCTTTCAATTTAAGTCATTCTGGTTCTATAGCTTACTCTTGGACCCTATATGAGATTTTGAATAGTTTATCTGTTATTCTGGTTTTTTCTGGTTGTGCTATTTTTCATCTAATGTAGGAATTGGAATTCTTATCTGATACCTCGGATTTATCATATGCACTTTCTACTTGCGATTTATTCTTACTTGATGTTGATCGTTGACGCAATCTTTTTGCATTTGGATATTAATTTGATTGCTTGTTGGTGAAGCTTCCGCGAGGATTCTTGAGTTTAGCGCGCGTTAAAAATGCAACAGACCTTCTCTGTTTGGTATCCCTTGAGATCTCTTTACTATCTCATCCTTGTTTAGTTTTCAACTAATCTTGCTACGAAAAATAGGTTAGAGATGCATGACTGAAAATCCTACCATTGCATACAATGTTTGATCTGGAAGTCCTACCGTCGTAAGCAATGATTGGATGTGATAATCGTTTCTTTCTTTCCCAGTGCTTATTTGGATGTGATACTTGTTTCTTTCTTTTCCAATACTTGTTTGGATGTGATTTCTCTTCTTCTATTCCCATTACTTGTTTGGATGCTCTTTCTTTTCCTTTCCCATTGCTTGTTTGGATGTGGTACTTATGTCTCTTTGCTTGTGTAGAGACACTTCACACTTGTGCATTCTTTTCTTTGTGAGATTGCCATACTCACCATAGGATGCCTTTGGTTCATTCTT